CTTTCCTGTCTTTTTAATGACCTTTTGCTTTCTTCATGCATGATATTCTTGATGTCATCCCACAGTTCCTCTGGTTTTTGGTCATTGGTTTTCAATGCATCAAATCTATCCTTTAGATGGTCTCTAAATTCAGGAGGGATATAATCAAGGTCATATTTTGGCTCATGGACTTGTTTTAATTGTCTTCAACTTCAGCTTCAACTTTAATAGAAGCAACTGATGGTCTGTTCCACAATCAGTTCCTGGCTTTGTTTTGGCTGAAAATATTGAGCTTCTCCATCACCTCTTGCCACAGATGTACTCAATCTGATTCCTGTGTACTCCGTCTGGTGAAGTCCACATGTATAGCCACCATTTGTGTTGTTGAAAAAGTGTTTGCAATGAATAAGTCATTGGTCTTGCAAAATTCTCTCATGCTATGTCCAGTGTTATTTCTGTCACCAAGGCCATATTTTCCAACTACCAGTGATTCTTCTTTGTTTCCAACTTTTGCATTCCAGTCACCAGTGATAATTAACACATCTTGATTGCATGTTTGGTCAATCAGACTGCAGAAGTTGATCAAAATCTTCAACTTCCTCATCTTTGGCTTTGATGATTAGTGCATAAATTTGAATAATGACAGTATTAACTTGTCTTCTTTGGAGGCATATGGTTATTATCCTATCACTGACAGCATTGTACTTCAGGATAGATCTTGATACACTCTTTGTGATGATGAATGCCACACCAATCCTCTTCAATTCGTCATTCCCAGCATAGTAGATCATATGATTGTTTGATCCAAAATGGCTAAAACCAGTCCATTTCAGTTCACTAATGCCTAGGATGGGAGCTCTGGTAGCGTAGTGCCTAAGGCATTTGACTGCTAACCAGAGGGCTGGTGGTTCAAATCCACCAGTCAGTCCTTGGAAGGAAGATGGGGCAATCTACTTCTGTAGTGATACTGCCTCAGAAACCCAAGGAGGAGTAGCTATGAGTCGGGTCCACCTCGAAAGCACATAACAACAATGCCTAGGATATTGATTGTTATGAATTCCATTTCATCAAAAACTATCACAAGGGAAAATTTGGGAACAGATATGGGTGATGGTTGAACATGATGAACATAATTAATGTCACTGAACTGTACATGTGGAGACTGTTGCAATGGCAAATGTTTGTTACATACATATTTACCACAATAAAAAAAAAATACTAAGACTGATTAGCATGAACATGATTCTCTGTCATTGTATGATTTAATATTTTGGCCAATTAAATGACTACAAGCTAAAAAACAAAAACAAAGTATCTATCACAAGGCAATATAGCACAGTGGTTGAGTATGTAGGTTCTAGATTCAGATTGGCACAGTTCAAACACGAGTTTTACCACCTCCTTGTTGTGGAACCTTGAGCAATTTACTTAACCTTGGTCTTAGTTTCAGGGATCATAACTAGTATTTTCCTCATAGGGGTGTTGTGAGAGTTAAATACATTAAGGGGCAGAAAGTACTTAAACTCAGCATGACATGCATTAGTGCTCAATGCATTATGGTAGATGTTATTTTGAAAACATTAATGGAAAAATATGTTTAAAATACTCAGCGCAGGATGAAACTAGTACTTCCATATATTGCCAAGAGCATTGACAAATGTGCGTATCTTCTGAAAGGGGATTTTGCAATGCATTTAGGAGGAATGAACAGTTCACTCCCTTTCACACAATTATCTCATTCCTGGGAACTTTCCTACAGAAGTACTTCAAGGGCAAAAAAAAAAAAAAAAAAAAAAAACCCTGTATGTATAATATGTAGATGAGGAAATGCCAGAAATTCAAGCAGGATTCAGAAGAGGATGTGGAATGAGCGGTATCTGCTAATGTCAGATGGATCTTGGCTGAAAGCAGAGAATATCAGAAAGATGTTTACCTGTATTTATTGACTATCTAAAGGCATTAGACTATGTGGTTCATAACAAATTGTGGATAACATTGAGAAGAATGGGAATTCCAGAACACTTAATTGTACTCATGAGGAACCTGTACATAGATGAAGAGTCATTCAGAATGAACAAGGGGATATCGCATGGTGTGTGTGTGAGCTGTATCCTTCACCCTACTTACTCAATCTATATGCTGAGTAAATAATCCAAGAACCTGGACTATATGAGAGAGAAAGACTGGAAGAAGACTCGTTAACACACGTGACAACTTTTAAACAAAGTATTATGCAAAATATATGCAAAATATAAAATATATGCTTAAGGTTTGTAAAGATTTTATATGATTAGAACCTGGTTACCCATATCCTGAGAAATTTGCTTGAGAATTAAATTTCTTCTTGAATTCTTAATTTAACATGCTAGTTATAGAGCTGCTGGTTTGAGAGTATTTGTCACAAAACACAAATGAATCTACTTCTAAACTTGTTCATGTAATCATATCCCCAGAAAACTTCAGACCTGGGCTCCATCATTTTAAAGATAATTTGAAGACCTCCAAAGTAGATTTGTAACACTGGCTTCACATGACAAGAATAGCAATCTTCTGTACAAAAGATACTCCTTGGAAGAA